TTGTTGCCCAGGCTGGAGTACAATTGGGCCATCTCGGCTCACTGCAACATCTGCCTTCCAGGTTCAAGTGAATTTTCCTGCCTCAGCCTCACAAATAGCTGGGATTACAGGTGTGTGCCACCACACCCAGCTAATTTTTGTATTTTTAGTAGAGCCAAGATTTCACCATGTTGACCAGGCTGGTCTTGAACTCCTGACTTCAAGTGATCCACCTGCCTCGGCCTCTCAAAATGCTGGGATTACAGGCATGAGCCACTGCACCCGGCCTTGTTACTAACTCTTAATGAATCTGCCTTTGTTTGGGTACAACTATCCCTTGAGGATTAAATATACCAATTAAGGATTAAAAGTGTACACAGCTGCATGGGGTCCCCTCTGTTTCTGGTCTATACATCCTCTATGCTTTATACATAGTCTTTACTAAATAAGGAGTTTTTAAAAATGAATTTATCAAATAGTATAGCTAATTTATAGTATGTATTGACTCCTTATATCTGCTTCCTTTCAGTGAGCACACAGATGCTGGAGCACTCCTGAGAAGAGAACACAGAAAGAGGAGGAGGAAGGGTGCCAAAAACAACGTCTTCTTTGGGCATTTTCCCGTTGATCCTAATGCTAGAAAGGAAGGAGAGAGGGAAGATGAAATAATTTATAAAATCCTGATGAATTGTCAATTAAGTAAATCCTTTTTAAAATTTTGTTGTCTTTTATCTTCTTTTGTTTGTTTTCCATTATTTAGTCCTTTCTTTATTACCTGCACTACACAGATGTAAAAGTAAATAACTTTTGAATTAAACTATACAGTGTGTGATCCATGGAAAACTTACGTCATGCTACATTAACCTGCAAGTTTTTGGCAAATATGAATTCATTAGTCATTGAAATAAGCCAGAAAGGATAAAACATACTGGTTTTGTCTTAACCTTCCCTAGCCCTTCTCTCTCCTTGGGTTCAAATGAGTCACTGACCTGCTCTAGTACACATCTTGGAATCTTTGTAACTTTGTAACTTTATCTTTTGTGAGTTCTTTCATGCCTGGTTTGAAACTGAGGAAGTGGACGCAGGGAAGATAGAAGAGGAAAAGAATGGAATTGCTGGAAGAAAAGAAAACTAAGAGAAGAGCCACTTACCAGGACCCATCATTCCCTTCACATTACTGTCTCCTACATGAACAGATCTGGACTCTTGGGCTGCAGAGAAAGGAAAGCATTCATTCAGCATTTGTTCCACTAACATGGACTAAGCACCTTCCGCGAGCCAGGCACTGGGGGCAGACTCAGAGATTCTACAGTTTCATGGGGGAGGCAGCGCAGTAAAAAAAAGAAATTACAGTATCGTGTAGCAAGTGCTATTTTCTCAGCTGTAAAAAGACGCAATAGTGGTACTTACCTCAAGGATTACAACAAAAATAAATAAGTTAGTATTTGTAAACTGCTTGAAGTTCTACCTGGCATATTGTAAGAGTTAAATAGTTGTTTAACTATAATGGTGGTGGCAGTGGTATGATGGTAATAATAAAAAAAGGCAGAATGGTACTGTTAAAATGTAAGCCAGCCTGGGCAGCATGACAAAACTCCGTCTCTACCCGCCCCCCGCCCCCCACCCCCCAAAAAATAAAAGAGAAATTAGCTGGGCATGGTGGTGTGTGCTGTGGTCCCAGCTACTTGAGAGACTAAAATAGGAGGATCGCTTGAGCCCAGGAGGTTGGGGCTGCAGTGAGCCAAGATTGTGACACTGCACTCCAGCCTGGATGACAGAACAGGACCCTGTCTCAAAAAAAAGAGTAAACCAGACCCTATCACTTCTCTGCGTAGCCCTCCAATGGCTCCCATTTCAGTGTAAAAGCCAAAGCCCTTATAATGATCATACAGCCCTGGAATATCTGCTCCCAACTCATGCCTGCTGTTTCTTTCTTTTTTTTTTAACTGCACCTCCTGTTTTCTCCCTGGTTCACTCTGCTTTACTCCCGCTGGTCTTCTTGGTATTCCTTGAACACATCGGTCATATTCTCACAGGACCCTGGCACTGGCTGTTCCTTCTCTTCCCCTCAGTAGCCATAAGCGAACTTTCTCATTTCCTTCAGGTCTTTGCCTGGCACCCTATTTAAAATGACAATTCCTCTTTACTTATTTTTTTTTTACTTAACTTATCACTCTTTAACATACTACATATCTTACTCATCTTGTCTATTGTCTGCTTGCCTCAGAGAAATGGCTCCATGAAGGCTGGAATTTTTGTTGTTTTGTTCATTCCTATATCT